CACCTCGATGTGTAAGGTTTATTTGCTGCCAAGGGATTTTTTTTTCTAGGTTAATCACTAATTCACTTTTAGAACAGTGATTGTAAGTTCACACTTCTTAGAATAATTTGTTTCAGCTTGCAATGATTCGCTATTAACTTGCAGTCAGGTTTCTCTCTCAGACAGACCATTTCAAGAACATTCTTAATTTGATACCAAAGGATCTAAAAATTAGTACGACCTCTTTTCTGTTTAATACAATTAAGAAAACAACATACAACATGCAAAGCTAGAGACGAACAAAGATCCAGAAGCCCTCACAGGGGTGGTGAGCACGTAGGTCCCAATCGATCACACATTAGGCCTACAGGTACTTTCTTTCTGAAAAATGGGGTGCCATCTTGGGGCACCTACTAAGCCTTTTTTTAATTGAATTATTACTAACATATAATGCTGTGTTAATTTTCATTGTACAAAGTGATTCAGTTATACATATATATATTCTTTTTTATATATTTTTCCATTATCATTTAGTGTAGGCAACTACCAAATTTTATCAAGGATACAGCCCACAAAAAAACACTTAGGTCTGATGCTGTGAGCTGCCTTTGTGTCCTAGTCAATCTCTGCCCATTCATCACAGCAAGTCATGGTAGCCAACACATAGTGCTGACAATATGCTATCAAGTGCCTGTTTTTTGTATTGCAGCATAGACAATTAACAGCGTTGTAAGAGTTTCAGGTGAACGACGAAGGGACTCAACCATACATGTACATGTATCCATTCTCTCCCAAATTCCCCTCCCATCCAGGCTGCCACATAACATTGAGCAGAATTCCATGTACTATACAGTAGATCCTTGTTGGTTATCAATTTTAAATACAGCAGTGTGCTCGTGTGCCTATTTTAACTCACTTGATAATCCTGAGGTTGATGTTATGATTACCACCATTTTATAGTAGGGAGAGTCTAGGCATAGAGAGTTTAAGAAACTTGGTCCGGATCACAGTCACAAAGTAGTACAACCAGATTCAGTTTCAGACCATCTGACCTCAGGATTCTTGGGCTAATTGCTACCCTATATTGCCTCAAGTGTGATGGAAACAAGCATGGTCAAAGTACAGAATCCTCACGTTTCCACTGGTTCTCAGTTCACATCAGTGATTGCACATGTGTCAATGCCAACCTCACACCAACACTTTGATTAGCATCTATCCTTCTCTCTCCTTTAAAATGATGTCTTATTCCCTGGTGTCTCAGCTGGTAAAGAATCCACCTGTAATGCAGGAGACCTGGGTTCGATTCCTGTGATGGGAAGATCCCCTGGAGAAGGGAATGGCTACCCACTCCAGTATTCTGGCCTGGAGAATTCCATGGACTACATAGTTCACGGGGTGGCAAAGAGTCAGACACAACTGAGTGACTTTCACTTATTTTTAAAACATCCTTATACAAACGACAAATTTACTCCTCAGTCCCAAACAATGGGCTTAATTTTATGTCAGTGCCCATTAGGATGTAAGAAATGGGTGCTAAGTAGAGTCACATGGTTCATGATTCAGACATTACATCTCACATCTTCTAAATTCTGCTTTACAGAAGTGACATACAGCCTCTCCAGAGCTATGCAAACTGATTTTATCCTGCTTAAGTTCCCCCCTTTTTCCTTCAAGCAGTTTTCACTTCATTTAGTATGTAACTGAAATATCAAGGCTAATAAACAAGAGAAAAGATAATCCTGACTCCACTCAATGATGTACATAATGTGCATGCGTGGTAAGTTGCTTCAGTTGTGTCCGACCCTCTGCAACCCTACAGACCATAGCCTACCAGGGTCCTCTGTCCATGGGATTCTCCAGACAAGAATACCAGAGTGAGTTGCCATGCCCTCCTCCAGCAGATCTTCCCGATCTACATAACAGTTGTGGTCAAAAACAAAAATTGTTTGTCTATCCTTTTTTGTGTGTGTTTATCCTAATGAGGACCAAAAGACCCATTTATATGCCAATAAGCAAAATGAACGAATATTATCTGAATCAAGAAGAGTATAAGTAGAAAAATATTTCTCATCTTTAATACTATGCATTTATTCAGCATTGGATCCATCTAGATTAAGTGGGGCGGCAGCAGGTTTTACGGAAATGAAAGAGTAGAAGAGATGGTCCTATAGTCAGTATCTGATAGGTAGGTCAGGTGTGTTCCTGTGTCAGAGAACTTGTGTATCATAATATTCTTGGACTTCAAGGAACTCACGATTCAGTAGAGGATTCTAAATCTGCCCCCTGCCCCCTGCCCACACACACACACATCTCTCTCTCTCAGACCCATGTGCGTGCACACACATCAGTTCTTACTACGGATCTACAGTTAACATGAATTCAGAAACACAGATATCTCATACGATTGTTGTGTATGTATGTGCTGAGTGTGTGAGTTGTGTCCGACTCTTTGCAACCCCATGGACTGTAGCCCACCAGGCTCTTCTGTCCATGAGATTCTCCAGGCAAGGATACTGGAGTGGGATGCCACTTCCTTTCCCAGAGGATCTTCCTGACCCAGGGATCGAACCCATGTCTCCTGCACTGGCAGGTGGACTCCTGACCACTGTGCCCCCCAGGAAGCCCCACAGTTGCTTAGAACAAAGGTAATCATTTTAAAAGCATCCAGCATGTGATGAGAACTCAACGAATCCTGCCATCATCATCCACCTGAGAAACAGATAACAAAATAATACACCTATTGCTGGATCAAAGACTTCTCAAAAGCTAAAAAGCATATATAATCATATTGCTTAGCTTACTGTTTTTCCCAATTTGCTGCAAATATGTTAAAGGGATTTTCCTTGAAAATTATCCACCCTGTAATCATCCCAGCATATTTTAAATTTTTTGTATATTTCCTTACACATCCCCACAGGCTAGTTCAGACAATGGCTCCTCATTTACCACATTCTTTAACCTACCCTTGCCAGTGTGTGGGCTTTAACCGGGTAGGTATGTTAGCTGCCAGAAACCAAGAGTACCTGATAGGCCCTGCTCTCAAGGGTATCTTGAGATAACAAGGGAATATTTCTAGATTTATGACTTGGTTTGTTGCTTCACACCTGAGCATAGTCTATTTTTATTTTCTATGATATTCTCTACAGTTTGACGATTTGTTATCATTAGATAATGTGGGGCACCCTTTGTTTGTTTTAGGTCTATGGTGTGGGATCTAAGTTTCTGGCTCCAAACTGCCATTTTTCTATGCCACCATCATTCCTGAAGAGTTCCAATGTCTTATTTGGGAGTAATTTTTGATAATAAAATAGACTCAACTTGCTAGCTGGCAATTTCTCGACTGCCTTATGGGTTCTTGCTATTTTATGTGTCCCCAGCACCATACTGTTTTAAGGATCAGTGTGTTAACTTGGGCTCTAGTATTTGATGGGTTAAGCCCTCCCCTCAGATTTGTTGTTTCAGAATGTATTTGGTTGGCCAAAATGTTTCAGTTTTTAAGTAAGCTGTTATGGAAAAATTTGAAAAACTTTTTGGCCAACCCAACACTACTGGCCTCTCTGGCCCATTTATTTTCTGCACGCATTTCAGAATCACAAGATTTCAATGAAGATGATGTATTTGACTTTAGGGGAGAAAGCTCAAGCATGAGGACAGGCACTGAAAGTAACGAAAAGGATTCTTCCATCTGACTTTAATTTTTTAAAAAAGAAATGGATGCTGTCTAGAAAGACTTCTTTAAGTCTAACATTTGGAAGAGTTAAACTTGTCTGAAATAAAGGGCCTGACAGTAAAAGATTGAGTTCCTTTCTGACTGCGTCCTGTTAGCAACAACTGGCTTCGACTGGTTCTAGTTCATTAAAAATAAAAGGGGAAAAAATGGCTAATAGCAAATTCAGGAGGGTGGCTCAGCTCTCAGTAATTCAATTCTGAATGTAATAACATGCTTATTAAAAATGGAAGGTCACTCTTCCAAAAATTTCCCCAAAGGCACAGCTGCCAAATTGACTTCTGATTTCGTCTTTACAACATTATTAATTCAATGACATAATAGAGCTGGCAAGAGAAGGCTTTGCGTTTGCCTCACAAAGGGAGCTGCCAGCGCCTGAGAGAGGACCTTGCCTGTTTCCTAGAAAAGTGACCTGAAAAAATAAAAGTCAGCTTACATTTTTAAAAAAAGTTGTCCTGATAAAGGACTAAAAATACTCTGGCTTTTGGGAAAAGCCTACCAAACGGCTTCCCTAATTCCACCACCTCATAGGCTTCGCTTTGTCTTCATGCATCAGCAGCAAAGAGTCCTACAGGCAGTGGTGCTGGAAGGGTCGGTCCAGGGTCCCCCCCCCCGCCCCGGACTGGGTCTACCAGCTAACCGATCTAGGTAAAAGGCAGCATATCCTGGGAGGTTGTCTACCTTGACCGTTGAAACATACTTGGCACGGAAGTCGGCCTCCAAACCATGACTTGGCAGTGAACGCTAATTAAATGAAACTCGACCACAAGGTGCTTGTTGATCTTAACTTGTCTCAAGTTCCAGACTTGGACAGCAGGTTGAAACCTGCTAGGATCGTAATCAGCACAATCGATAGCTTTTGGAAAGAACATTCTCGACCTGGGTTGCCAAGGGTCATCAGCTCCTCCTGACAGAATCGCTGCGTCTGCAATTCTGCCCCTGAGACGTCCTGACTCTCCCAAGTCCTGCAGGGGCCACCCCGCTCCCCCCAGGTCTCACCGCCTGGACGAGAGACCATGTGTGAAGCAGCTTTTAATGAAATGGATCATTCATTCAGTTTTTACCATCCATCTCCCTTTATAAACTTTCTCCTATAATGTGTCCTTCTGCCTCTAATGTTTCTCAAGTAATGAAAGTACCGATGTAATAATACCATCCACTCTTACACAGGTGTCAATGCCCCTCACCTACAGATCGCTAGGACGGCCTGTGGGAATCAGGTGGCCAACAGGCAATGGGAACTGGGGTGGAGGTGGGGGGGTGCTCCAGAACAGGTCCAGGAGGGGCTTGTTACAGGTTGAGTTCTGACAGCTGATTTGGGGAAAGCTTCACAGCAGGCTCGCATTCTCTCTGGATTGGGGGCTGTCAGAAAGCAGGGGCAATCTGTGATCAGGGGTCTTGGTAGTTTTATTAAGAAGATGGAAAGACCCAAGGAAGGCACGACCGTCAAACAGTAAAGCAGAGTAGCCTCCCCAGAGGGGGAGAGAGTGTGGGTGCCTGTGGCTTGGACACTGGTAATTCTGTCTATACGGTCAATTTGCAAAGTCACATACATTTTTCAGGTAATTCAACTTAGGGAATCTAACAAAGGCCCAAGCCAAACAACTGTCTGCTGAAGAGGCCAAGCAGTCACTTCAACCCGCTCTTATGTATTAAGATGACCGTCTGCTATCCACGCCTAGGTCCTGCAAGCTCGGGTGTCTCTGTCCGCCCCTAGGCCTCCCCTGATTTTGGGATTCTGAGCCATAAAACTGAAATCCTTTAGCAGATGATGCAATCAGTTGAACACAAAAGAAGAGAAGAACCCAATCCTTGAACCTTGACAAAGGAAACATCACTAAAAGGCAAAAGACAAGCATTCCAAGCATTTTACAGGGTGGCGTTGGCTGTATTGGGCCAAGTCTGACTTGTAGCAACTGCTCTACCAAGAAACTGTGGGTGGAGTTATGTATTCACTCATACAGCAGGTGCCCCGAATAACTCAGGCATCCCACAGTAGACCGGCCAGCCCACAATAACCCTCACTAGTCCAGTCCAGGCCACTTCACTCAGAGCTTCCAGTAACGTCACCCGACACCCTCAGTATTCCTGCATTACATGCATAGTAAATGTGTTCTTCCTATTTCAAAGAAAGCCAACAGATGGTTTTAAGCCTGGATCCTAAGATATGATTTACTGGGGCCGTGCAGTACTCCTAAAACATCATTTCCAGCATGCCAAAATCAAGAGATTTTACGTAAAAATCTAAGTTTCTGCTTCTTTTGAAAAATCAGACTCTGGAACGGTGGGCCTGAATTCCTACATGAAACAAATGGTTGGCACCAGTCGGCCTGAATTCCTACATGAAACAAATGGTTGGCACCAGTCGGTGGCTGAACCTTTAGAAGGAAAAGGTTCTGCCTGGTGACAGTCCCCACCCAGCCACCACACTCATGTATTTCCCTATCTCACCCCAGAGGCATCTGAGCTTGCGAAATGGATCAAGACCGACCCTATGGGTTCCTCCCAGGACAGTCTGCATGTCCTCCACCTGCCTCTCGTCTATAGACAAATTTTAGTCAGAATAAATTTAATCAGACAAAAATGAGGAAATATAGAAAAAGTAGTTAAAACAAAATAGCAATAGTTTCATCATTAAATAAATGATCTTGCCCTTTGGTTCCCCATCAAGGGCTAGAGACAATATTCTGAGCTGTGTCCTTTGAGCTGTCTTCTAGATATTAAAACCTCTACCAGGTGGACTAGCTTCGGGTGACTTGATCACAAAGCTGGGATTTTGAATCTTAGAGTCTTATTTCATATCCAAAGTCAGAATAACACTTCAGATTAGAGTTTCATTAGAGATACAAATAAAATCAAGTTGGAAGAAATTTCTCAATCTTTAATTTCTAGATAGAAGATGGCTTTTCAGGTCTAAAAATAAAGGGAGAAATTACAAACAAAAAATCTGACTGAAGACTGAAGAATAGCAGAGAAAATCATTTACAACAAAGTTGGAAATTGTGTTAAATGATTAATATCTTTCATAAATACATAGCTTATAAGAAATGAGAAAAATTATTATGATGGACAAGAGTGAAATAGATGTGTACAATTCAACCTTCAGAATGGCTATCAAATAAAGCCCAAGTCTGTTCTTTGAAAAGTCTAACATAGTCCCTGGTAATATTGCTCTAATCAATAAGATGTAAAATAAATCAATAACAAACTGAATTAAAATGAGAGGCACTTCAGTCATAAAGTTAAGAGGATCATAACTATGAATAACTTTAAGCCAATAAATTTGAAAATTGAACGATATGAACAACTCCCATCCCCTGAAAAACAGTATAGCATAATAACTTGACTTTCCAAGAAAAAGAAAACTGAATAATCTTATAATCATCAAGAAATGGACTCCATATTTTAAATCTTTCCACAAAGAAAATTACAAATGGGCTCTAGCAAACTGTAAAAAAAAAAAAAAAAAAAAGTCATTCCAGCTTTATACAAACCATCAGAGAAAAACACAGAACTTGTCCTGAGCTCGTTGTGTGTTATGTAACCAATATCACAATCCAACAAGGACAACAGAGAGAAACAAAAATCACAGACAAATTACACTCATAAAGTGTGTGAAGTTGCTCAGCCATGTCCAACTCTTTGCAACCCCATGGGCTGTAGCCTACCAGGCTTCTCTGTCCATGGGATTTTTCAGGCAAGAATACTGGAGTGGGTTGCCATTTCCTTCTACACATGTAAATAGAGATATAAAATTCTAAATAAACATTTGCAAATAAAAGTCAGTAAGAAATAAAAAATGTAATTCATCCTAAGTTGGATATTTCTGGGAATGCCAGAGTGGTTTAATATTGAATAACTGCAAATGTAGCTCAAAAATTAAGTGTACTTCCAGGCTTCCCCAGTGTGGCTCAGTGAATCTGCCTGCCAATGCAGAAGACACAGGTTCAATCCCTGACCTGGGAAGATCCCACACGCTGCGGAGCAGCTAAGCCCACGCACCACAAATTTTGAGCCTGTGCTCTAGAGTCCAGAAGCAGCAACAACTGAAGCCCGCACATCCTAGAGCCTGTGCTCCACACCAAGAGAAGCCTCTGCAATGAGAAGCCAGCACACACGACTACAGAGGCACCCCCGCTCTGCACAACTAGAGAAAAACCCTTGCAGAAATGAAGACCCAGCATAGCCAAAAATAAATAAATGAAAAGATATTAGAAAATTAATTGCAGCTCAAAAATTAAAAGATGAAAGATGAAAAATCAACAGATCCTCCAAATTAATATATAAAAACAATCTAATACAACTCATATCCATTCATCTTAACATGGTAAAGAGTATCTACAGAAAATCTATAATAAGCATCATTCTTAAAGGTAAAACTTGAAAAGACTTCAGACAAGAAAGAAACAAAACCAGCCCCCTGACTATTTTTATTTGGCAATGTGCAGGACGACCCAGTCAGTAAGGTAAGTCAAGACAGGGGATAAACCACGAGGGCTTGGAAGATGTACCACAATTCCATTCAAAGGGTATATTATCATTTTCACTAAAAACTAACATTTCATTTTTAATGTTTCATTAAAAACATTTCATTTTCATTAAAAACTAATATTTACATTAGGATATTAGAGTTTAGCAAAGTTCCTAGATCACAAAATAACCTACTAAATAAATTCCATTTAGAAATGCCAGCAATGTATATGTAGCAAATAAAATTTGGAAGAAGTCACTATCTATCACAACATAGAGAAACATAATATACCCAGAAATAAATCTAAAAGTATACAGGAGACCTTTAAGGAGAAATTACAAAATTTCGGCCACAATCGCTCTTTCTCACGGACACAGCTCACAGCCTGGAGTACAGATATTCAGCAGGACACTCTGCACATGATGTTAACCTTCTTTAAGGAGGAACTTATGCCTTATTTCCCCACCCCTACCCCATCCTTTCTCTCCAATTCATTTCTTCAGCCTTAACCTTCACTGATCTTAGCCCACTCCTATCCACATCCCCCCTTATTTCCACAGCCCTCTCTAGGTTTGTGAGTTTGCACTTTTAAAACATTTTGTTGGTCCCTTTCCCTTGAACTGAGCTTGGTGACCCTGATGATGAGAGCTTGCCTCCCCAGCACAGAGCGAAGCCCCTACCATGTAGTAAAAACTGATAAACACTAGGCAGATAGGGACAGTGCACACACAACAATGCAAACTCACTTTTCCCCCCCAGCTTTGTTTCTGGTACTTTTTTTTAAACTAGAAGGAATATTCCACAGAGCAATTTCAGTAGGTATTTCCATCCTTCTCTTTAAAATTAAAAAAAAAAAAAAGTGTGTGTGCTAATGATCAGGTAATTGTGTTTTTTATGATTACAACTTCCAAACCAATGGCTAGCCATGATGGCTAGTGTCAAAGAGGTTAGTCCTCAGGGCCCTAACTCCCCTGGGAGGCCTAGCTGGTCAGGGACCAGAGTTAAAATTGCAATTCTATGTCAACTTGAAAAGACAAGTGGAAGGAGGGAAGTGGAAGAAAGGTTTGACACAAGTCTTCTTTCCAACATTTTCCACTGAAGACAGAATACAAAAGTACCACCACAGGAAAGTGAAAGAAGTGAAGTCGCTCAGTCGTGTCAGACTCTTTGAGACCCTGTGGACTGTAGCCTCCCAGGCTCCTCCCTCCATGGGATTCTCCAGGCAAGAGTACTGGAGTGGGTTGCCATTTCCTTCTCCAGGGGATCTTCCCAACTCAGGGATCGAACCAGGGTCTCTCACATTCCAGGCAAACGCTTTAACCTCTGAGCCACAAGGGAAGCCCAAGCAAACTAAACATGGACTTATTTTTCATGCCACTACTTGGTACAGGAGGATTTAAAAGAAAACATCAGTTTCAACTTCCTTAGAGAGTCTTAAGAGATTGTTATAGTCATAGTTGAAAAGCCTTAAGATGAACTACTTCTCATTAAAATTTGAATTTTTTCATAGTTTAGATGTAGCTTAAGTTTACGATGTGTTAGAATTTTATTTCTGAACGATCACTTTATAGGCTGGATGAACTGAACACCCACACCCACTAAGAGCGCTTACTGTAGTTTAAAGCAGAATGTGACCATTTTAAAGGGCTAGAGACCTAGTATTTACTTTTTAGAAATTAATATTCATGAGTTCCATTGATTTGTTGCCTGCTCCATCAGGAGCACAGTTTCCAACTGTAGTTAACGGTTCCCAGAGAAAAACCGACAGCTTTTCTGAAGACTTGTTTGGGGACACTGTCTCCTAAAACGTCTGTAGCTAAAAGCAGAGACAGCACAGGTCTGTGTCAAGCTTGACTGAGTTAATCCTTAAAGTTCTTACATTTTGGGGTGA